AATGATCAGATTAGAAAGCTTGCTTTTTTTTTTTTTTTTTTTCTTTCCATTTGGCTTCATAGTCTCCTTAAACTAGATTCATACTGCTGTGGGCCACTTGTCATCACTGTCAGAAGCCTTAAGTAGAGCTGATGAGAACCTGCATGACCTGCTGTAGCACAAAAATGGCATCATGGAGGAGCAGCGACTCCAGCAGAAGGCTTGAACCAGGATCTCAACAGAGTAGCCACCCTCCCCTGATGGGCCAACACATGCAACAGCTCTAAATGCATTCAGGCAGTCAAGAGACCACTGGAAAGTGAGAGAAAGGTAGTGCAGTCGCCAAGCCCAACAACAAAAACGCAGCTGAAAGTCCTTAATGCAAAGTTACACACTGCACTGCTCTGCCTGTGGGTGGGCTAGATGGGCCGTTCCACCCTAATTCTTTTCACCATCCTGTATTTCAGGGAAGACACAGGACTGTAGGCTTCACAGACTGCAAAGCAGCCATCGTTAGGTAACACCTTTCCGCAATATTCCTCTTGTTTCAGTGAGCGCTGCAAGCCTGACCGCTCGCTGCTCTCGTAGAGCTGAAGAGCTGAGCAGCAGCAGCTACACCTTGCACTCGGCAGTCCTCACAGCTGCGAGGTTATTTTCAAAGGATTGCCATCCTTCACCTGTTCCCCCCCACCACTACTTCTGGCTTGTGCCAACGCCGGGCTCAGAGGAGCCCCTGATGGCCGTGTGAGGGCGAGCACAACGGAGACGGTCATCACGGGGCTGCACACAACAGTTGCATTTACGGAGGTGGTGCCTGTGACTTGTCGAAGCTATTTCAGTTGGAAAACAAAAAGCCTTTTTTCCCCCCCCTCCCTTGTTTTTAAACAGGCACCAGGCACATGAGAATGACGCCGGTTTTGCATGCAGCTGTAGCACCTGCACCCTGTACCACTGGCAGCAGGAAAACTCCTCACTGCGGGAGGCACTTACCCATGGAGGAACACAGCCCATTTACACCCTCAGCTGCCCAGAAAAGGGCAAATATCCTCAAGGCCTCCTGGGCTGGGGAAAGCTGCTGGGCACCAGGGTCCCGCATCTCCCATTTCTGGAGCAGCAAAAAAAAGGAGGTGAGGAGGGACTCTGCATGGCAGTAAAGGGGAAATAGAAGCAAAATATTTTTGGCAAATAGAGAATACAAGCAGAAAAAAAAATGGACAAAGCGTGCAGATGATGAAAAGGAAGTTAATTTAAAAAGAAAAGTCACCATCTACTAGCACCAAATTATTCCCCGCGGCACACCCAGGTTTCCTTCTGCTCTTCCAGAATAGGAAGAAAATAAAACCAGTTTCTTATGATATCCAAGTGGTAATTAGTTCATGAAGGAAAGAGGCATAGAGATTATGTATGCCAGGGACAAAACAGAAGTTGAAACTCAGAGCTTTCACTCCACTTTTCCCCTCCTCTCTGCTAGCATCTGATGCCTAGGTAAAGCCTGCACATCCCTTCCTGGCCTGCCTTTTTTCTCTCTTTCAAACTAGGTGAGAGTCATCAACCTTCCAGCTTGATCCCAGCAGGAAAATCCAGCCCTCATGCCAGGAAAGGGTTGGCCAGGACATCTCTTCCCCACCGAAACCCTCTGCTGCCCCAGCCCAAGGCCACACCAGCCACGCAAGGCGGGCTGCTGACCTTTTCCTGGCACGAGCCTCTCCGCATATTTCATAAGGGGATTGTTGTTTCCTTGTGAGTTAGACATTTAAGAACATTATATTTGGAGCATGGATAGAAAGGATCTATTTAACCAGATCTTTTATTCCCTCTCTCACCCACACGTACACACTTGCTGCTCCCCCACGGCCAGCTGTCTGTGCACACATACACCAGGCATGCCTTTTGGCTGCCTCCATCACACTGGGTTTAATTAAACACCCTGGAGGCTCGTTTCTAAACCCGGATTATTGATAGATTTTTACTTTTTTTTTTAATACCCTGACTGCTGCAATTCAGAACTAAATGAGGTGAACAAAAAGATTCGAGCAGATCCCCAATCCCCATCACAGTCTGCAATCATCCCACCAGCCCTCAGATGAATCACATCCCAGTTCACTAGGAAGGAAGGACTAGGAGCACCATGCAATTTGCTGGCAGTGGACATTTTGATACAGAAAGGTCCCACAAAGAGTAATCTCACCCTCCTCCCAGTGCCTGGTGCCTCTGACAAGAGAACACCCAAAGCTGTGACTACAAACTGCCCAGGGACAGGAGAACAGGTGAAGTGCTCCACTAACACCCTGTAGGGCTCTTCTGTGTGTCTTCACCATCAGGAGGAATTTACTGGGCAGAAATGTTCAGAAATTTGAAAGAGTGGAGCACACCCCAAAATACAGAGGAGGGGTAAAAACCCAACCAGATTATAGCAGATCCTGTCATGCTGATCAGAGAAAGAAATGGCCTCCTGACCCTACAGATGACCAACAGACAGCCTGAAACATGAGATTAAAGCATGTGCGAGAAAGGCTGAGGTTATAAGTATTGTCCAGGTAAACTGAGAAAGCCTAGAAGGAATCCCTGCAGGGATACCAGCACTTAGGCTGGAAAGATCCTTTTATCTCCAGTTGGTGCAGGCTTTCCTGCCTCACTGAGGCTCTAGTTTCCAAGACACCTACTGCAAATGACACCACGAGATGAACTGGGTATATTATTTACTCCAAAAATCCACCCAGGATTTATGCTGGCTGCTCATCTTCATGCTGGATCCAAATTCAATGCCCCTGCTGTTGCCAACACTGAAACAAGTAAAAGGTTTTACTTGGTGAGAAGGCAGGAAAAAGAAACCACAATAAATCACGTGCCACTGCTGAATATCTCCGAGAGACTCACACCAGCCCTGCAATGACAGGAGGAAGAATGGTACCAAGGTAGGGGGGGAAATAGAGAAACTCCAGGCTAATTTTGCTGGAAAAGCTGATGCTGCACAGGCCAGAGGGGCAGGAGAGGAGAAAGCTGCAGCACGGAATGGCCAAGCTACACTCAGTGAACGCCAGTAGTCTGAATGCTGCAAAGAGAGGGAGGCTGCCAGGAGTTTGCCCCTGCTCTGCCCAGCCCGTGACTTCACAAGTGTGACTACACACACGCCCCCAAGCTTGCCCTACCTCCTGGGTTTCTTGCCAGGCTTAACTCAGCATCTGCAATGGCCCATGATGAAAAGCGCTGTCTAAAGCAGTGCAAAGTACTGCACGCACTGGTTTCTGACAACACTTGCCAACTGTTTTACTGCATCACAAGGCAGACAAAGGCTCACCCCACACAGCATCGAGACTCAAGCTCAGCTCAGTCCAGAACTCACGGCAACAAAAGCCCTGTGCCTGAGCTGAAGCTGGTTTTAATGACACAGCACAAACTGCAGTTTATGCTTTAGGTAGGGAAATACAAAACTCTTTCACATCAGACCGTACCTTATCCTCAGACAGCCTTCTTGTTCCTCCCACTCTTCCAGAGAACATCCCTCTGCTGTGCAGGGTTTTATGCCTGAAATAAATGAGGTAGCTTCACTGAGCACAGACACAAGTCAGAAGCAGCACTGACCCATGGTATGGGCTGTGCAGCACCTGCGGGACCTGCGCTGGGACCAGAGGGAGCATCTCATCTTACCCCTCAAAGGAGAGCAGAGGATCTCTCATTGCTGTTGGGGCTACCCAGGGGATTAGCCCACAGTTGTTCATCTTTGATGAGAGAGAAGGCAGGCATGTGAGCCCAGCTCAGTGTGCAGGGTACCCTCTGTCAATCAAAGGATTGGAAGTTGCAGCCATCAAGGCCAGAAAGTGCCTCAGCTGAGCTGGGCTATAACTGGTAACTACAAAACTCAGCAACATTCCTGCTTTGTAGTCTCATGCAAGCTCAGAGAGAGACCTTAAGCTTTACACACACACCCCCATCCCAAATACTCAAGGAATCCCCAAGTAGCAGGACTGAAGCCTCAATTCCTGCAACCTGCTGGCTTAGGTTTTTTTATGCCTGATAATCAACCTCAGTTCACACTACAGACCTCCTTTCTCTCAGTGGGGTTATTAATTCAGTTTCCATTCTTAATCTGGTTGTATATTTTGATGAATTCTGGCAAATGTGGTATTTGGAGACTCCTATCAAACAGGGCTGAAATTGGCCAACAAGGTACAAACCTATGAGGGGGAAGCAGACATTGCAAGTTCACAGTCCTTCCCTCCCAGAAAAATTGGGCTAAAAATGGGTCCTGCAAGCACACTGTTTAGTTACTGCACCAACAAAAAACAGAGAGCCTCAAATCCTGTCCCAAATGCAGTTTGGGCTAAGCAGCCCTTTCCATTCTTGACTTCATTTAAGCAATAGATTTTTCAGGACTTTTATATGTTTTAAACATTTGAAGTGAACTGTATAAGAGGTTACTGATGTCCCTTTCTTTACGTGACCCAACTTCTGAACCCTTCCTACCCATCCCAGGATACACACAACCATTAGGAGGTAGGAGTGCAGGCAGGAATGGAAGCACTGCAGTGGCAGGGTGAGGTACCACTCCCCATCAAAACCTTAGGCACAAGCCTAGGTTTAGGCTAAGGCTGGCACCTGGGCTGTAATGCCAGCTCCTTCACTGAGCAAGCCCACACCATCAGGCTTATTGCTAGCCATGGCCCTCGCTCCTTTTCCCCTCCTTCAGTCACACAGTTGTGCCAGATAACCTCTGAGGCCACCACGTAGCCAGGGACAGGCTCCCATGATGGCTACACAAGGCATGCATGCTTGAGCATCTTCCACTGCAGTTCTATCAGCTGGGATTCAGGGTCAAAGTATCATTATTTCCTCGGTAAGCACCCAAGTGCTCCAGGAGGGCCAGTAACCCAACATGTGGAGTCTGATGCTACTCCTCCATGCCACCCAGCAGACACTCCTTGATGCCCAGCCATTTTTCAAGGTCCACTGCTTCTCAGAAAGACAAAAACCCAAAGACAGAGGTTTAGTGAGCTGAAGGTCAGTACTAGACACACCCATACCCGAGTCCATGGGGGCAGAGAGCAACCTCACATCATGGCACAAGGACACCGCTCCACGAGGCATCAGCAGGAAGAAAGGGGCAACCTCCTGGTGGGGAGTGGGAGGTTCAGCCAAAAACCCCACACTGCCCTTTTCCCCTCCAGAGGTCAGGTATTAAAACACAACCTGGTCACTGCGTAGGCATGAGAGCAGGCAGTGAAGGCAAAGAGCAGAAAGTATTTCAGGTTACGTGACCCCATCTCCACCAAATAGGATTGCCAGACACAATCCAATTGGCCAAGGTGGGTCACAGTGCTGAGAATAGTTTTGTACTCTTGCCCTCTTAGCTGGTAAATAGCTTTCAGCCTCCAAAAGTGCTGAGCTGCGCTATGCATTGGTGGAAACAGCTTGCACAAAAGTGAGATGGCTCGAGGAGGGGGAAGGGAAAACCTGGGCACTGGGTGAAATGTTGCTGCAGCATATTCAGGTCAAAAGGACACCCTGAAAGGAGCCATTTAAAAAAAAAATAAAAGAAAGAAAACACAAAAGATGAGTTTAAAGTTGCAAACAACTTAACGTTTCATCTTTGATTTCTATTTAGGCACATCTCATACATAAAACCTGCATGGTTAATGTGGGACTAGGAACATAGGAAGCAGCATAGGACAGAATCTATTAGCACACAGAACATGGCCCCGACACATAATCCCTTTCACAGACAGATCAGGACTCCTGTTACTCTGCTTGGAAGCTTCTTCCCAAACCTCCCTGACCTAATGGTTTGAAATTGTTCAGTAGTTTCCAAACTAGATTACCACAACTGTACTACTGCTGGCACTTTCTCTTAGTCTTAAAAACTCCTCCCTTCATCACACTGTTTACCTGCTGACATATTTACAGAGCACTCTCATCCTCCCCCTACCATTTTCCTCAGGCTAAACAGTCCAGGCTCTTCTAATCTCCCCTTGTAGGACAAGCTTTCCATTGCCTCACCCTGACAGGCACCTGCTTCAGCACAAGTGCAGCTTCTGCTCAGGAAGATCAGCCAAGAGCAACACCCTCTGCCCAAAGGAGGAGACAAGGTTTTGGAAGGTTGTTTTCGTTGTTGTTGTTGTTGATTGTTTTTTGTCAGTTTGTTTGGGGTTTTTTTTAAACAAACTTTCTCCCTTTGTGTTTTGGTCACTAGATTTTTCAGTGTCAACACTTCAGTTTTCTCTGATCCCAGAGGAGTTGCATTCTGTAAGCCCTTTAAAAAGCTCCCTGCACTCAGGGAGAGGCCCACGTACAGCCCATCGGTTGCCTGTCCCCACCACGGGCATTGGGATGGTGGGAAGGAGAGGCTGATGCAAATTAATTTCTGCTCTCTGTCATGGGCAATGCAAACAGGAGCGCCATTCCTAGCTTTTAACCAGCCCAGCCCTTGCCTTGTACACTCTTAACATTACGCATAATCTTTTCTTTCCAATCACGACTGGTTTTAAGGATTGCACTTTTGGGGAGGAATCCGTTTCCTATTTCAGCATCCATTTTTAAGTCCTCGTGAAGAATAACAAAGGAAAAAGCAGGAAACTATTTCCTGAGAGCTAGCTTGGCCAATGTCCCCCCTTTCTGACCTGCAGCATCCCTGCTGCCCTGCCCATGAGCCAATTCAAAGCACAGATAACAAAATGTTTAGTGGTCTTCTAGTACGGGCATGGAGGGCAATGTGGAGCCCACTTACTGCATGAAAGCAACATTTCTGATACCACATTTGCTTACACATCATTAAAACACAGCCTGACCTAGCAGGACAGCAGTACACACAGCAGCACAGGCATGGGCACACTGCCCAAACCACGTCCCACTCTGAAAGGATGCTCTGCCAGTGCACCCACATCTCTGGAAGTCTTGCACAGTTCTGGTGGCACATCCTGCTACCAGGCTCGAGCAAGGTGTGCCACTGAGAGCACTGTGCTTTATTCAGCCTTTGCAAGTCTCGAGGAGCTAAATCAGTATGGCTTGGTCTCTGCTGCACGCCCTGCGGTGCCTGCCCTTTTACGCCCAGCTTGAGTGATGTCCACCGTATGGCACAGTAAGTATGCCCTCTCCGCTAATGTGATTCACAGCCTAATTAAACCCCTGCAGAAAGAAGACATTTTCCCTGTGACTTGCTGCGAGTTATCTGCGCAGACTTGTCAAAATGCAGCAGCGACTGTTGCCACAGCATCCTCTCCGCAAAAGAGACAGGAAGGTGCCGTGGAGAGGGAAATAGCTTCTACTGGAATAATTTACTTTGCTGACGAAGACTTGGAAGTGCCAGTCTGCTGGAGCTTCCCAGTCCCCCCTCTAGTGTGGCAGGGAGTGTGAGCCAGGAGCCAGCCCGCTGCAGCTTCTGCCAGGGTCCCGGGTTTGCTGAAGAAATACACCTGCTGTGCTGGTGGGAACCTACCTCTCCTTCCCAGGCTCTTCAGACGAACATATCTGAATCTAAAACAAGGGGCACACTGTTATCGAAAAGCATAAGCGGTTTGTTCTCCCCTCTCCGCCCGCTCACAATAGTAGCCACTGCAGGTCATGCAGGAAAGTGAAAAAGGTCAAACAAACAGTTCCCAGGACCCTTTTTCTTTATGGGTCCAAAGGGGATTAAAAAACCCCCAAACAAACCAACCCTGAAGAACAAAGCAAATCAGATACAAATGTCACAAAAATGAAAAAAAAAAATAAAAAGGGAGAACAATAAATAACCTGAGTTGAGGTGCCCAAGTATCATCGTGCTGTTGAAGACTCTGCTCCTCTCAGGGTTTCCTTTCTTTGTGAATGTGTCCTGCTGAATTACAGAGATGCTAGTGAAGGGATGCTCCCTCGCCAGCAGTGGAAGTACAAATTTAAAGTCCTAAGAATTCAGAATGCACTGAGAACACAGAAAACATTGAGCTGTTTCCAGGACCATATTTATGCCTGAATTGAGAAGGTTTTATACAGCATTTAGAGCTACTGTTGGGTCTGGTGGTTTTTTTGGGGTGACTTCTGCATTTCCTTTTATTTAGTTGTGAGTCAGCCAGGTGATAACCGTGTGCAGGTTCGTCCATAAAACTGAAATGCAACAAGCTGAACTATCACCACAGTCCCATAGCTAAACACTCCTAATCTGGAAGTGAAATGCTAAAGGTTCTCATAGTAACGTTATCTCAGCGTTTTACATACCAAACATCCAGCAAAACGGTCTTTGAAAAAAACCACAAAGAAACATTCCTACTGAAAATACAATCTTCTCCAAACACAATAAAGACAAGATAACATTCCCCAAATGTCACAATTTAGAAACCTATTCATCTGAGACATTAATGTTACAGTAAAAGAAGAATCTGTATTTTTCTCTCCCTGAATTCCCCACAGCCTTCACTATTAAAAAAAAGGATCAGCTGTTATGTATTACCAGTTATGTATAACTGAAGCTGCTCAGCTTGAACAAGTTCCACAGGCTTCACCGGCATAAACTCTGTAAGAGGGAGTGCAACATTTAAAAGCTATCTGATGAGAAGGTCTCCTCTTGTGGAGTTTATACACCCCACAGAAATACAGAGATTTCAACAATCTGTTTGCTGTGTTAAAACTTGTCTGAAGTTTCCATACTGAAAATTGTCACGGGAGCCCGAGAATTCCAGTGGGACTCAGAAACTTAATTTCCTCTGGGCCCCTTGTGCTTCATCAGTTGGTAATGTTAATATAAAGTCTGATCCTGCTGGGTTCTGAGCACCCTCAGCACTCCCTGGGTCCATCCACAGGGGCTGTCAGCTATCATCGCTCCACTGATGTGCTGAGCATAATAGCACACCAGCCCCTACAGCTTCGAACAGCACTGGGTGCTTGGCTTCCTTCAAATGTGCTGCTACTGATGCTAATTTGTTATTCACTTTGGTTTCTATTCCTTTTTTCTTCCTCATGGCAAAGAGCAAGAAGGGCTCTTCTAATAAAGAAAAATGTGACTGAGTTTTTGCATACTTTAATTTTCACCCTTTCATATTACAAATAAGCCTTCCCAAAGGATCAAAATAAAGGCATCATCCTGCACAACTCCACGGCACCTTCTCTTCAGAGCATAGTGACACCACTCCATCATAAAGACACAGGAGCACATGAAACACTGCCAAAACACCAACTAGAAATCTCTTCCTCTAGGCTAAGACCAAACCAACCAGACTTTCCGTCCCCAAAAGAAAGCCCTTCTTACTAGTTATGGGTGTACAAAAGCTGAGAGTGCAGTGAGATTTCCAGCGCTGATACAGGCAGCCAGAGTACTGCTTGAAGGAGGAGGAATCATCCTACAGTTGTTCTACCAAGCTGGGAAGGTGACTTGGTACTTCTCCCAGGTACTGCCACTAATTTGCTCAAAGTCTCCACTAATTGTTTATGTCCGGGTGCTGGGAATATGCCAGTGCCTAATTCCCAACAAAGTCAGAGGACAGCAGCTAGGAACATCCACACCTCTGTAGGTCTGTCTCTTACTCTTCTGGCCTTTTACCTGTGGGCACAGGCAGGCAGCCACAACAGCCCATCCTTCACACAGGGCTGGCTTCATGGCAAGAGAATTGGGGTAACCAAGGAGCATCTCTCAGGCCACCAACCCCCAGAGCCCGGAGAACAGGATACACTGGATTTCCAGTGCTTCTGTTGGCAGGAGAGAAGCAGTCACCAACCTGCTCCACCACCAACCTGAACAAGCCCCATACTGCTCACAGGATTCAGTACCACCCTCGCATCACCAGTCCTACCCTGCTGCCAGGCCTGGGGTGCAAGCAGAGGGGGTAAAGGCAAGACCTTGAGGCCTCTGCAAACACTCAACCATTTGTGTGCTGCAGAGGAGTGTAGTTCACTTGAATTAACGTCGCCGTTAGTAAGGGAAAAACAGGACTCCAGGGTGGAAAAAAACAAGGGAGAGAAGAAGGGGTCCACCCAAATTAAACCTTTAAGTGACCAGAAGCAAGCGTTACCTTTCCTTATCAGCAATTTACCCACACTGACAGAAGAGAAAGGTTTCTCATTCTCATCTGCTGTGAACTAGCGATTTAACACATCGTAACCGGTTTCAGTGGGCTTTGTTTGCTGCCAGCCTTGGCAGAGGT